TTTCTGGAACGACTTTGACACCTGTGATATATATATTTATATATAAAAATCTATATATATGTAAATCTATATATATGTAAATCTATATTTATATATATGGGTGATATTTATGATACACCGATATTTTTAGATATTTTAAGGTGGTTATTAAAACTATACATTGATTGCATTTTGTGTAATTTGGTGTTTTCTCAGAGATTTCTTTTTGGTACTCCTGCTGTCCTTAGGTTTATGTTTTTATTTTTTTTTTCTGACCCTGTTTTAGTGTCTTTCATTCCATTGTTCACTTGTGAGAGCGGACTTATTGAGAATTTATCTAAAAATAACCCAGAAACATTTCATTGTTTATTTTTCTACCTCATGCTTATTTTACAAATTAGGATGATAAATGCAGTATTAGGGCCAGGCTAGAGATTTTTCTTTTCTTTATTTGGAGTATAAAGTCGTAACATTACGAGAATAAAGTCATACAATTATGAGAAAAAAAGTCAAAATGAGAATTGTCATAAGATTACAAGGATAAAGACATTAGATTACGAGAATAAAGTTGAAGATTATGGGAATAAAGTTGTAAAATTCTGAGAGTAAAGTTCTAAAATGACGAGAAACAAGTTGTGTATTATGACAACTCCTACAAGTAGCACTTTCTTCCTTAAAATGAAGAATGTCGAGCGTCATTTGAAGTTATACTTTGGCTCTGGTTTGACAAATAAGCAAATCTTTTAGCGCACTAGCATCAAACTGGGCAGGATGTCAAAGTGGACTCAGGTTGCTGATTGGTGGAGCTGGTCGGACGTCATCTGCCTTTCGGAGCTTGAAGATTTCTTTCTGAAACAGGTAGTTGTAGGATGACTTCATTCTCGTAATATTCCAACTTTATTATCGTAATGTTACGACTTTATTCTGTATATAATTACAACTTTATTATCGTAATGTTACTTTATTCTCGTAATATTACAATGTTATTCTCGTAATGTTACGACTTTATTCTGCATATAATTACAACTTTATTATCATAATGTTACAACTTTATTATCATAATATTGCAACTTTATTCTCGTAAAGTCATGACTTTATTCTTGTAATATTACAACTTTACTCTCGTAATGTTATGAACGTATTCTCGTAATATTGCGACTTTATTATTGTAATGTTACGACTTTATTCTTGTAATATTACAACTTTATTTTCGTGATGTTACTATTCTTGTAATATAAGAGAAAAAACTCTCTACCCTGGCCCTAATAATCCGTCGTACACATTACTTTGCTCGAGCATTTCGCCTCTAAAATACTATAACGAGTAGTGTGGGGGAGGGGCATGAAAGAGTCGAATCTTTTAGAAGATTTGAGCCACATGAATTGGATCTTAAAATGTGAACTGACTTCCCACGACCAAAAGATGTAAAAGATGTTTCAAGGAGGTTTTACTGGAAAGCGGGAAGTATTAGTAAAAGGAGGGTGATTCGTTGTCTTTATATATAAAGTGTGGATGAGAATTAGGAGCTCTGCAGGTTTAAAGGTGGATGCTGAGCAGCTGGCAGGGCTGCTGTGGATGAAGCGGCTGCTCGGAGGAGGAGCAGAGCTAAGCTAACGATGGACAGAGGATTATCGCTTCAGCTCACATTCCCTGTAAACATAAAGGAATTAATAATGAAAAGGCATGGGATTTAAAAGGGACGCCCCAGTTTGTGACTCTCATTTAGTGACCACCCACAGGGAGATCCTCGCGTGTTTCCTCCGTGGAAAGACGGCGCTCCTAACGGCCGGTGGGATGCGGTGATGCTGCGGGTCGGTGCCCTGATCGGGACGGAGCTCCCTCCCTGCTTTAGAGGCCATGAACAGCCGTGACTATCAGCAGATCGACCCGCAGGCACTGCCGACCCCCGCCCACAGCCCGCTGCCCCACCCCGCTGACCGGAGGCAGGAACCGAGGACACCCAGGAGGAAGTGGGAAGTTTTCCCCGGGAAGAACCGCTTCTTCTGCGATGGAAGGATCATGATGGCCCGTGGGTGTGGGGTCTTCCCACTCACCGTGGGCCTTATCCTCGTCACCAGTACTTTATTTTTTATTTTCGAGTGAGTTGTTTACCTCTGTCTCATCTGATTGGGGGTTTCGATCATTATCATTTAATCTGTAGTTCTGTTACATCGGACTCGGAACATTTTTCTTAACTTCGTTATCTAGTTAATTTTTCTATTTTTCTGTTTATCTAATATAGTGTCTCCTCCATTGGAGAAGCTTTTACATGCTCCCTTATTCTGACATCACATGTGGCAAATACACATGACCTGCTTTCCTTTATGTACATTTATTTTATTAAAAAAGCCTGTTTTTGAATGTTTCAGAAATTATTACTAATAACACAAAAATATTGAAGCAGATTGTAAGGAGCTAGAGGCAGACTTTCCTGATTTCATGGTCTGTATAATATCCAAAGCAGGGGCGGATTTAGGAAATCTGGGGCCCTAGGCAAAGACAGGCAGGGGGCCCTCTGCATTGAGAAAACAGGACATAAAACAGACCCATTATACAGACAGAAATTTAATAGAATAGACATCGATTAGATGTTCTACGTTTTGTCCCTCTCACCTTGTATCTTTTCTTGTTGTTTTCCTTTTTAAATTGTGGTACTCTCAAAAGTAATGAAAGATTTTTTTCCAAGCATTAAGCTCAATTAGCTGATTGCTCCTTTCTGTGTTTCCAAAAAGGCGACGGCAAAAGTAAATAACCCAGTCCTTCATTTCAAGCCATGATCTGCTTATCTGTTCTCCATTTTTCATTTGGATGAAATAATAGCTGCATGAATCATGACAGCAGAAAAAATAGAGGAGAGCAGGAGGCGTGGTTACCAATCTACTTGCTCTGGAGAGCTCTGGAGAGTGGTCTTTAGTCTTTAGTAGCAGAAAAAAAGTTGCTAGATTTGGCACTAGGTGCTTTTTTTATGAAATAAAAGTACTAGAGGGGTCTGAAAAGCCGCTTATTATAGCGAGCGCTACGTTGGCAACACTACCTTTAACGACATTTGGAACTTGGGGCCCTAGGCAACTGCCTAGTATTTCCTGTTGGTACCCCACCCCCCACCCACCGTTGTGATTCACAGTGGAGCGAAATTGTTGCTCTTGACTTACCATGTCTAATATCAGAGGAACTATACATTGATCCATATCAAATGATTCACATTCCAATGACCTTGGATCTTTGCAAAATAAAAACTCAATTTATAGTCTCATTCCTTGTGAATGACACTATATACCTCTGTTAGTTTCTGGAAGGTTTGCTCTCTCTCACTCACCGCTGTATAAAACAGCAGAAATATCTTGATATATCACAGAAAATACATTTTCTTTTTAAATAGCTTCTGTTATACTCTGTGTTGCCTCTGACTTTGAGTTTTTATTTAGTTACATCTTCCACACATCAGAGTGATGTTGTCTTACTGGTTGTCAGGAAAAAGTAGCAAACTTGAATTTTTAACGAAATTATTCTTTATCAGTTACCGCCAAACAGAAATTTATATAATTTGTGTCATAAATCTCTGTCAATTTCTGTTCTTTAGCAATTCTTTTAACCCAGGTTTCTTTATAATAATCCATATGGCCTTGGTTAAAGGAGAAGTTCGGTTTTTTACACTTTAAGCCAATTTTCTGTAGTGTCCAGGATGAAATCGAATGAAGGACACCAAAATTTTGACAATTGCTCCTGTCTCTGCTTTTTGGCTCATTTAGAATCCACCCCTGGCTGCTTTAGAATGGCTAGCATAGAGCATGTCCGATAATGTCCTTAAAACAACCTTAAACGTTCTTTTTCGCTTCACTCTGTGTACTCCGACGTCGAGGTGCTAACGTCTCTGTTAA